GCACGAGATTGAGCAATAACAGGTCTGTGATGCCCTTAGATGTTCTGGGCCGCACGCGCGCTACACTGAGGAATCAGCGTGTCCTCCCTGGCCGAGTGGCCCGGGTAACCCGCTGAACCTCCTTCGTGCTAGGGATTGGGGCTTGCAATTATTCCCCATGAACGAGGAATTCCCAGTAAGCGCGAGTCATAAGCTCGCGTTGATTACGTCCCTGCCCTTTGTACACACCGCCCGTCGCTACTACCGATTGAATGATTTAGTGAGGTCTTCGGACTGGTACGCGGTGGGCGTTTCGGCGTCGTCGATGTTGCCGGAAAGATGACCAAACTTGATCATTTAGAGGAAGTAAAAGTCGTAACAAGGTTTCCGTAGGTGAACCTGCGGAAGGATCATTACAGTGCTTTAATTTTTGTCTTTGACAAAAAAAAGTCTTTCGTATAATGAGTAATATATTTCAACACGATACTTTACTCTTATACACTTTACTATTCATTGAACGAATTTGCCTTTTTATTATAGGCGATGATGTAGCGACGTTCGAAAAGATAATAAGGAACATTTATAGTAAGATCGAGCGCACACACGTGTATATTACCCGAACGAGGTGTTGTTGTTTGTGTGTAACACACAACCTCTTCCCTCGTCTCGTCGTGTACGCGAGTGCGTATCTTTTTTATAAATCTTATTGAAAATCTTTTCGTCGTCCCACCATCATATAATACGTATAATTTTCGAACGCACCACGCCGTATAGAGCGCTTCTAGTACGCGCGAGCGCGCGCTCGGGGTACGTTCCGACACGCGTATATCGCATAGACATAATATTGTGTTGTATGCGTATGCGTATGTACACACGTGTCTCTACGACGTCGTCGTCTGTACGGATGGCGATATTTTCGACGGGTAACTCTATATGGGAGAAGAACGGAGATATGTCGTCGTGTCCGCACGACTCATTTCCTTCTTTTCCGGTTGTTTTTAAAGATATTCGCCCGTTAGTCGAAATTTCTACGCCATACGAAAAGACGGTACAAGAGGACGACACGTGTTGTACGCTTAATACATACATATATATTCATGTTATGTACAACTCTGTTGTAGTGTTATTTGTACCCCTTGCACACGCGTATGCTATAGAAGCGCGATACGGATAGAATGCGCGCGTACACGAGAGACTTCGTCGGCACGCTCGTTTGTTATAAACGCGCAAAAATAATTTTGCGCGTTTGCCGCGCAAAATACACGAAGTCTCCGTGAGAAATGCGCGCTTTCTTTTTTTATATATTTTCTTTAATAACATTAGCCATTATCATAACAATAAAGACGTATCGATATATATTTTATATATATAGAGATCGTCTAATTAAAAAACGATTACCCTGAACGGTGAATCACTTGGCTCGTGGGTCGATGAAGAACGCAGCTAATTGCGCGTCAACTTGTGAACTGCAGGACACATGAACATCGACATTTCGAACGCACATTGCGGTCCTCGGATACTGTTCCCGGACCACTCCTGGCTGAGGGTCGTATCAATTTAAAAGACTGCTCGGTTTCCTCTCCGATCTCTGTTCGCGTCGTCGTATTATCTCTTTATCCGAGAGACGACGACGACGACGACGACATGAGAGAGGAGAATGAAACGTCGGAGCGTGTTGGATGTAGACGCGGCGGTACGACGCGACGACGCTAGTTATTATATATTTATTTATGTAATATCGTAAACGTCGTCGTCTTTGTCGTCGTCGCGGCATCTCAAAACGCGAAAGCGACGATTCGTTCGTCATACGAACGAATCGTAAACTCACACATAGAACGAACACGCGCGCTGTACGGATAAAAATCGTAATAGCACTACATATATATATATATATATATATATATATATATGTATATATGCTGTAGTCGTTACGCGTTTCGAACTTGCGCTGCGATCGTCGTGTCCGAGAGAGAAATTATTTTTTTTCGAGATAACGACGTCTGATCGCATATACGCGCTAAACACTAGAGAACGCTTTCGACTAGTAGTAGTATAGCAGCAGCAGCTATACGATTTAGTATTAGCGATCGCGTGTGACATATATATCTGTGTGTGGTGTTGTGTTGTATATTGTTAACCGACCTCAGAGCAGGTGAGACTACCCGCTGAATTTAAGCATATTACTAAGCGGAGGAAAAGAAACTAACTAGGATTCCCTCAGTAGCTGCGAGCGAACAGGGAAAAGCCCAGCACCGAATCCCGCGGTCGATATCGGGCGCCGGGAAATGTGGTGTTAGGGAGGATCCGTTTATCCCGAGGTCGCGCGGCGAGTCCAAGTCCTTCTTGAACGGGGCCACAGCCCATAGAGGGTGCCAGGCCCGTAGTGGCCGCTGCCGATCGCGGGAGGATCTCTCCTCAGAGTCGGGTTGCTTGAGAGTGCAGCCCTAAGTGGGTGGTAAACTCCATCTAAGGCTAAATATGACCACGAGACCGATAGCGAACAAGTACCGTGAGGGAAAGTTGAAAAGCACTTTGAAGAGAGAGTTCAAGAGTACGTGAAACCGTTCAGGGGTAAACCTGAGAAACCCGAAAGGTCGAAAGGGGAAATTCATTCGCGTTTCGGCCGTCGGCGATGAGCGGTCGCGCGACGGACGGCGTTCGCGCGTCGTCCGCGCCTTTCGCTTTTCGATCCGGCGTCGAACGCGTGCACTTTTCCCCTAGTAGGACGTCGCGATCCGTTGGGTGTCGGTCTACGGCTCGCGGTGGAGTCCGTGTACGATCGTTTCGGCGATTCGTGCTCGAACCCGCGATGTTCCGGCCGACTCGCTCGACGGTATACAGATGGCGCGAGGCCGCTACTTCTTCAATTAGCGTCCGACCCACGACAAGCACGTTCGATGCTAAGACGGCGATCGGACCTAGCGCCCGGTTCCGTCCCCGGACGACTGTTGGTCGTGCGGATTTCTCGGACAGACCTCGTTTGAAACGCCGATCTGCGACGCTATAGCTTTGGGTAATTTCAGGACCCGTCTTGAAACACGGACCAAGGAGTCTAGCATGTGCGCGAGTCATTGGGACATAACTAAACCTAAAGGCGCAATGAAAGTAAAGATCCGCCTAGCGCGGATTTAGGGAAGATGGGCGGCACGTCTATAAAGCGGCCGCTCCGCACTCCCGGGGCGTCTCGTTCTCATTACGAGAAGAGGCGCACCAAGAGCGTACACGCTGGGACCCGAAAGATGGTGAACTATGCCTGGTCAGGACGAAGTCAGGGGAAACCCTGATGGAGGTCCGTAGCGATTCTGACGTGCAAATCGATCGTCGGAACTGGGTATAGGGGCGAAAGACTAATCGAACCATCTAGTAGCTGGTTCCCTCCGAAGTTTCCCTCAGGATAGCTGGCGCTCGTCTGTGACGAGTTTCATCCGGTAAAGCGAATGATTAGAGGCATTGGGGTCGAAACGACCTCAACCTATTCTCAAACTTTAAATGGGTGAGATCTCCGGCTTGCTCGAACTAATGAAGCTGCGAGAATCGAATCAGAGTGCCAAGTGGGCCATTTTTGGTAAGCAGAACTGGCGCTGTGGGATGAACCAAACGTCGAGTTAAAGCGCCTAAATCGACGCTTATGGGATACCATGAAAGGCGTTGGTAACTTAAGACAGCAGGACGGTGGCCATGGAAGTCGGAATCCGCCAAGGAGTGTGTAACAACTCACCTGCCGAAGTTACTAGCCCTGAAAATGGATGGCGCTGAAGCGTCGTGCTTATACTCGGCCGTCAGCGGCATGTGCGGTCTCGATCCGCGTAAAAACGGATCGGCCATGAAGCTCTGACGAGTAGGAGGGTCGCGGCGGTGCGCGCAGAAGGGCTGGCCGTGAGGCCGTCTGGAGCCGCCGTCGGTGCAGATCTTGGTGGTAGTAGCAAATACTCCAGCGAGGCCCTGGAGGACTGACGTGGAGAAGGGTTTCGTGTGAACAGCCGTTGCACACGAGTCAGTCGATCCTAAGCCCTAGGCGAAAGCCGATGTTGATGTGGCGTTGTTTTATAAATATATGTATGTATGTGTGTATATATAAAGAACACGCCCGTCGGGCGAAAGGGAATTCGGTTCCTATTCCGAACCCGGCAGCGGAACCGTACAATAGTCGGGCCCTCGCAAGAGAGTTCGTCGGGGTAACCCAAAAAGACCCGAAGACGCCGTCGGGAGACCAGGGAAGAGTTTTCTTTTCTGCATAAGCATTCGAGTTCCATGGAATCCTCTAGCAGGGAGATATGGTTTGGAATGCGAAGAGCACCGCAGTTGCAGCGGTGTCCTGGTCTTCCCCTCGGACCTTGAAAATTCGGGAGAGGGCCACGTGGAGGTGTCGCGCCGGTTCGTACCCATATCCGCAGCAGGTCTCCAAGGTGAAGAGCCTCTAGTCGATAGAATAATGTAGGTAAGGGAAGTCGGCAAATTGGATCCGTAACTTCGGGATAAGGATTGGCTCTGAGGATCGGGGCGTGTCGGGCTTGGCGAGGAAGCGGGTCGCGGCTGACGTGCCGGGCCTGGGCGAGGTGAAACGTTCTGTCGTATGCGTTCGCGCGTGTGCGGTAGGATTGCGGATCCGAACTCGGTACCGTGCCTTGGCCTCCCGCGGAACCGTCTTGCTGCGAGGCCCAGAGTGCGCTCGCAAGGGCGTTCTGGTGTCCTCTTCGGCCGCCATTCAACGGTCAGCTCAGAACTGGCACGGACCGGGGGAATCCGACTGTCTAATTAAAACAAAGCATTGAGATGGCCCCTGCGGGTGTTGACTCAATGTGATTTCTGCCCAGTGCTCTGAATGTCAACGTGAAGAAATTCAAGCAAGCGCGGGTAAACGGCGGGAGTAACTATGACTCTCTTTTATAGAAAGGTCATGCCCCCTATGCCTCAAAAGAAGCATTAACATCCTGCACATGACCTTAAATGATGAAATAAAACATGTAAAATCTGATCACAAGGATATACAAATCAGATTCAAATGCAGGATGTGCTCAAAAATGTATATAGCAAAACATGCGGCACTGTGTCACGTCCCCAAGTGCCCGGTGGGAGCTGCTGCGGCAGCCCCACCTCCAGAGTCAACAGACTCAGAGACTGACGGAGTACCAAGTAACAGGCCTATACCCGAATCGGTAGGCGTGGCCTGCCCCGATTGCGGCGAAAGGTACTCCGGCCGCGGTGCACTAACACAGCACCAGCGGCACCGGCATCCACTCACCCGAAACGAAGCTAGGGCAGCGGGTACACGGCGGTCTCCTCGACAAAGAAGATTGGTTATCTTTACTGAAGAGGAGGAACAAATAATGATGGAGTGCGAACTCCGGTACCGGGGTGAGTTGCGTATAGCAATGCGCATGCGGGAGTTGATACCAGAGAAAACTTTGAAACAACTCCGGGACAAAAGGGCCCAAAAATGCTACAAAGAACGGCGTGAAAGGTACCTCGCAGAAAGAGGGATCACAGCGTGCGCTAGTACTGATGATGACAGTACAGAACCAGTATCCACAGACACAGGGGATGGTAGAGCTACCGTCCCCCAAGAAGAAGCGCCCGAAACCAACAGCTGCGAGGAAGCGGGAATAGGGGGTGGCTCCCCTATCCCAGTCCCGGAGCTACTCGACGTATCAGCAGTAGCTGCCATTGCAGGGGGTGAAAATAACGTTAATAATATCACCCCACCGCCGAAAACATAAGTCCGACTCAGACGCCTGACATGTCAGAGAGGGTACTGAATGTCAGTGAAGATGAGTTGGTATCGCCAGCAGCTTCTCCAGAAGAGATACTTTGGAGACAGGATGTTGCTCAGACTGCCCGTAGCTGCAAGTTGACTCGAGCGGCACAGCAACATCTGGAGGTGAACACGGTCACCCAGCTGCTTAGAAATGCAATCTCCGAGGCTTGCGATTTGCCTATGGGGCAGCCCCAATCGCAAATAGATACTTTACATGATAGAGTCACCGCTCTCTTCGTCAGCGAGGAGCGGGGAGTTGCAGGGCGACGAAAGGGAAGGCGTAGAGGACAAAATAAGAGGGGTAACAGACGGTACCTCTACGCCCGTACCCAGGATATTTACAAAAAAGAGCCAGGCATTCTTGCCAAGCACGTCCGTAACAACGTGGACTGGCTGGAGGAACCAGGGGTAAAAGCTCCAGCCCAAGACGTGCGGGACCTGTACAAAAAGCTTTGGGGCACAAATCCGTCGGAAGTACAGGTGCCCTTCCTGGGAGAGCCCTCCGAACCGGCACTTGGGTTAGGTACTGTGCTAACCGCCGTGACGGCGAAAGAGGTGAATACGCGTCTCTCTCGGATGAAAATGTCCACAGCACCGGGTCCCGATGGTATTAAAAAGGGAGACATTAAACGCGTTCCTGGTGCAAACGAAGTCCTCCAGTTATTTTTCAATTTAATCATGATAAGCGGTAAGATTCCTACCGCCTGGAGGAAGAACCGAACTACTTTGATCCCTAAAGAGGGTAAGGACGGTATGTTAGCTGAAAACTACCGTCCAATTA